TCTATAGGGTGAATGTGTAATATGAAACTTTATTTTTAAATATACTTCATGATGTGTAAATCATCTCATGTTACTGTAATCTGTACATTTTAACTATGCACAATTTCTTAATATATCGGATTTGTATTCTTTATTTAAAAACTATAATAAAATTTTTCTTTTACCATGAATAAACATCTCAAAGTGCTTAAACATTCAATTTTTAAAAATTGAACCAAGTTAATCTTTCTATAGTCTTAACAAATGCAATATTTGGAAAGGAAAATAGTTCATTTAACTTAAGAAAAAACTCATTAAACCTGGAAACAATACTACAAGCTTATGAAAATCAAAAGTACAAAATGTAGTCATATATCACTTTACAGCTACCTTATATTTTCTACATATAGCTATGGGTAATTACCTTGATTTCAGGAACCATAGTTTGTACTTCCTTTCCCCCACTACAGTTCCCAGCACACTAAAAGACACTTAAGAATGACGTGTTTGTTTGAGCGGAGGTTTGGCTCAATATTTTTATTAAAGATAATTTTAGGACAATATTTTAAACTATTAATTTGCAACGGCCCTTGGATTTAATCTGATCCACCTATAAATCCGAAATCTACCATATATTGCTATTTGTGTTAACAATAGTAATGCCTACATCCTAACTGTATGTTATGAGGATTGAATAATACATATGAAATGGTTAGAAAATTGCCACTACACCCAGCTACTTTTTGTATGATTTGTAGAGACAAGGGTCTCACTATCTTGCCCAGGCTGGTCTCAAACTCCTGAGATCAAGAGATCTGCCCTCCTCGGCCCCGTGCCCTGTGGAAAAACTGAGGTTTGTTTTAACTGTTTAGTTATCACCAAGATTTTAATGATGCATTGTCCATGGTAGTAATTAGTATTTTGTAGACATGAAATGCAAATAAAAATAGCCTACTTAGCTTACTGCTATGTTTAGTTTTTATTTTTGCTTAATAATGGCTCTTTAGTTAAACCTGTATAGAGCAATACTGTATTTCCAGACAACATGATTTGTTTTATATGTTGCATAAATTATTACACAAAATAAATTTGTAAATTATATTCCAAAATGCTGGGATTACAGGTGTAAGCCAGGAATCCCAGGGAAGATTACTTTAAACCAAGTTGGATATTGTGTGAGTCCATTTGTCTTGCTATAAAGGAATACCTACATCTGATAATTACTTATAAAGAAAAGAGTTTTATTTGGCTCACATTTCTGCAGGCTGTACAAGAAACATGCCAGCATCTGCTTCCGGTGAGGGCTTCAGGGAGCTTTTACTCATGGCAGAAGGCCAAGGGAAGCCAGTGTGCCACATGGTGAGAGAATGAGCAAGAGAAAAAGGAGGACAGGTGTGAACCTTTTTAAAAGTCAGATCTCCCAGTAACTAATAGAACCGGAACTCACTCATTACAGCAGAGATGTCACCAAGCCATTCATGAGGCCTTTGCCCCCAAGACACAAACACCTCCCATTAGGCCCTATCTCCATCATTGGGGATCACGTTTCAACATGAAATCTGGGGGGGACAAATACCCAAATTATATCAAATGTAGATTGTTCAATTTGACAACTAATAAAGATTACTTACTAATATAAATCTTCAAAAATAATTGTAAAGGATCTAATATTATGCCCCCAAAAACATATAAACACCTTTTCACTGAAAATTATTTAATGTTTTAGATGGCTTCTCCCCGCTTGGCCTAACTGGTCCATGGAAGTAGTTGTACACACTCCCGTCCTTGACCTTCCTTCCTTAGACACAGGACCTTTCTCACCCTTGAGCATACTGAGATCTGTTTCAGTTTGCTCCTTTTCCAAATCTTTTTGTCTGGCAATGCTTAAGTTTAGATCTTACCTTAAAAATCACTTCCTCCAAGAAGGCTTCTCTGGAGATTTCCTCAGCCCACTACCCTGGCTACTTTCACTACCCTAGGAATGGACTTACCACACCCACTGTTTTTCTGTGTAGCACTTTTTTACAGTTATAATCAAACATGTTTGTGTCATTATCTGTTTAATGTCTTCCTTTGTGACCAACCTGTAAAACCCACATGATAGCAATTATGCCTATCTGGTTTACCACCATATCTCCAATACTTAGGAAGGTCTCTGTATAGGTTAGTTCCTCAATAATGTTTACTGAATAACATAATTTAAGTGTGCTTGATACGTGAGTACCTGGTAAGTGAAAAACTGTTATCAAATTTCAGTGTTTTTTAGCTCTAGGTTTTATTTTGGCCTATTGCAATTTTGTTTTTGTCTCCAGGACATCCTCACTATTTTAAACAGCTGTCCGTGGGCTAGATACGATTGGACTTGCAGGGGAATGGTTGACAGTCACTGCAAATACCAACCTGTGAGTATCCCTCTGTACCTAAGAAATGTGAGATTATTAGACACATGTAAGCAAGAGTGAAGATGTAGGTAGTGGAAGTTCCATTTTTCTGGATATGATGCTTGCTGTGTCAAAAACAAACAGTTGAAAATTGGGAGAAATGCAAAGAATCTGCTATGTGTTTCCTGTGTGACGTGTGTAAAGTTTACCTGGTTGTCTGGAAATTCTCTGGCAATGTTCAGGGCCTGAATTTACTTGATTAGCCTCAGATGTTAGGGTGTGAACTGGGAGTTAAGTTCTAGGAGTGGAATCATTGCAACCCTACTCAAAACAGCCCACAGCACATAGTTGTTTAAAATATACACACAAATAGGCCAGGCACGGTGGCTCACACCTGTAATCCCAGCACTTTGAGAGGCCAAGGCAGGTGGATCACTTGAGGTCAGGAGCTCGAGACCAGCCTGGCCAACATGGTGAAACCCCATCTCTGTTAAAAATACAAAAATTAGTTGGATGTGGTGATGCATGCCTCTAGTCTCAGTTACTCAGGAGGCTGAGGCACAAGAATCGCTTGAACCTGGGAGACAGAGGTTGCAGTGACCCGAGATTGCCCCACTGCACTCCAGCCTAGGAGACAGAGGGAGGCTCAGTCTCAAAATAAAAAAATAAAAAATAAAAATAAATAAATAAAATATATATATATGAAAAGTTTTCTGAATATAAATTAGAACCTCAATCATATTGAGTAAACTTTTAAAGAAAAGTTAGATTCAACTTTGACATGATTATTTTAAAATATTGACCTTTGCCATGGCAAAACTCATGGCCATAAGACAATTAGATATACTGCTGATGTGTTTTGAAGTTAATTTTAAGGCAATATTTTTCAATGTAAAAAAGGATAGAGAGATGATTGGATACTAAATTGAAAGGAATAGTCTGTGTCAGATGTTAATATAATTTAGCAATCAAAAGAGATAGCTGGTAGAACTTCAAACTTTAAAACCAAGAATTAAATATTTATGAGTCTGCTCTGTTATGTGGGAAAACTGAGATTTGTTTTAACTGTTTAGTTATCACTGAGATTTTAATGATGCATAGTTCATGGTAGTAATTAGTATTTTGTAGAAATGAAATGCAAATAAAAATAGCATAGTTAGCTTACTGCTATTTTTAATTTTTTTCTTTTTTTGCTTTGTAATGGCTCTTTAGTTAAGCCTGAATAGAGCAATACTGTCTTTCCAGACAATATGATATATTTTATATGTTATACATTATACAATACACATTTATAAACTATATTCCATAGTTTGGAATCCCATTGTTATGATACTTAACCATTCCCTATGTGAAGAAAATACATACTATTGAACTTAAATAGAGGAATACTGGAAAGCATAGGTGGTAGATGCAAAGAGAAATAATTTAAGAGATAGATGCTTTTTTATTTTCAAAAAGTTTCCTCATTCTTAATGACTGGATGTCTCTTATCAGAATCTTAAGATGGTGCAAAAGCATGTTAGATGGAATTAGAGAAAATCAAATTGGATTCCTAATTCTACCACTCCACAATGCTGTGAAGATTAGTGAGTCTCTGTTTCCTGAAAATAATAATACATACTCCGTAGAGGTGAAATAGGATCACAAAGGTCACGTGTGGAAGCTGAAATTGACACAGTACATTCTGGCAGAATTGAGCCCTACTGAAATAGAGGTTCAGAAGACTTGCTTCTTACTTTGTTCCTTTTAGAACTAAAATCTTAATTCTAATAGTCAGTGTCTTAGTCTGTGTCTCTGAGCAGAGCTGGAGGCAAGAGCTTCTGTCTTACTTTATTTTTAGGGTATGCTGTATGAAAGGGCAAGGTTGAGAAGAAATGAAGTGGGTCAGGAAGGGAAAGGACAGAAGAGCGGTATGAGGAATCATTAGAGACCTGACTGGCAGCCAGGTCTAAGCACGAATATAAGCACAGTGAGTGCTTGATCCCCCGGGGTTTGTGCTTCTCAGGACAGTTCATCTGCGGGGAGGAAGGGGAAAGAATTTACTCTCCACCAGGTCTCCTAGGGCCAAAGGATTGTACCACAGGATATATTGACTCCCCGCTACCTGATGGATGGGCATTCTTGGTTTCAGGCTGAAAAGGAAACTTCTGGGCAGGAGGCCAGTGACTGTTGTCAGGAGAGGAGGTGACTCGCTGTTAGGTCGGGACTGTGTGTGAGTGTGGCTGGGCCTGAATACTGTCCAAAGGCCTTAGAGGCAGAGCAAGCTGAGAGCGTCCAAAGCAGCACATAAATGATTCCTGATGTCAATATCTATGTTTAAGGACACTTAAAGGAGCCTTGAAAAATTTTTGATGACAAATAAAAGGATTTCTTGAGACTAATGAAAGCCACCTTTAGATTTCAGAACCCACTGTAAATATTTCATGGTTCATCGTACAGAGTGTGCACAAAGCAAAGCTTATAGCCTTGAATTCCAGCTTTTGCTTTCTGAAGAGCTGACTCCAATTGCACAGTGTGACACAGAGGGAGAGTTCCCATCATGGTCATCTCTCAATCCTTTTCCCTGGGTCCCACATTATTCTTGTCATGTGCTATCTTCTTGCTTTACAGCTGTTATTATTGAAAACATAATAACTCTTAGTTGTTTTTTGGTGTGTTTCCTCAAAGTACAATCCTTACACAAAGGATGTTTATCAATCAATTTCTAGAAAAGGCCTTTTCTACCCTTTCCATGTTCTGCAGAACATTGTCTGCAACTCCAGATCTATGTCTTTTTAACTTGTCTATTAAGGAATATATAGGTTTTTTTTTTTTTAATAACTGGACATTTTCTGATCCTAAACTATGTTGTATGTTCTGAAGGGATGGGAGTTGCTTTCAAGATTCCTGCAGGTGGGAAAGAAATGTTCAGATATTGCACAAAACAATGGCAGTCATGACGCTTTCTCTGTAGAACTAATATACTCAATCTGGAATAAGCAATTTAGAATATATAAAATGTAACCATTTCTTGCATAGTCTAATATAGAATTAAAAAGCATATGATCTTGTTAACACATGACTTTACTTTGCCTGTTCTGTGTAATATAAGTCACGGTGGAATTTATCGATATGTATTATAGATTTACATATGAAATAGCCCCAGTTTTTACTGTCATGGAGACAATTCTTCTCAAAATGTATGAAATTATTGGCTGGGGAGAAACAGAAGCAGATGGAATATTTTCACCTGGTAAGAAAAAGCAACTTTCTGTAAGCTAAATAAAATACCTATCGGGAGACACTCAAAATGTATTCCAACTAATATTGTTATTTTTGACAGACAGACATTCGTAAGCCATTGCGCTATCATTGCAAATAAAATTTCCAGAAATCTAAAAGTGGAAATTTCATTGTTTGACCTTTCACCAATTTCAGGGAAGGATAATTTTAAAATAACAGTGATTTAGCACTCATTAGTTTCAGAAACTGCCAAATTGTTATATTTCAATAAACATTTCTCAGGATTGAAATTAGCTTAATAGTCATTATTTCTCTTCCATAGGTGGCGGGATATCAAACCTCTGTGGTATTTTAGTAGCTCACTATAAACAATATCCAGAGATAAAAACAAAGGCATGACTGCACTTCCATGCATTGTATTATTTGTTTCTGAGCAAGTAAGTATCAAGTGTAGGTTTTTTCCAACTTTTAAGAATCATCAAAGATAACCTGATAAAGATGAAGAATATTAGCATTATGCTTATATCAAGTATATTCAGATAATCTCTGAGTCTGGATCTACGTAATGATAATGAAAAACAAAAAAAACAAAAAAAAAAAACTTCCCAGTAAATATAGGCTCTGTAGGTAAGCAATACAAATAATTCAGGATTAAAATTTAATTTCAGCATGACAAACAGAAAACAAATGTGATTATAAATATAAAACATTCAGCTAACTTTACCAAAATAATTAAGTAGTAAAAATTTCAAAGATTTAATAGTTCTTTTTCACATTGAATAAAAACAACAATAATATAATTACTGTTTCATCTTTCCAGTTAGGACTAAAGGAATCAGTTAAAAGAAAACTATATTTTTATAGACTAGATCCTCACCCAAACTCTTCTGATATTGACAATATCTCCACTGATACCTCCTTTACATTTAGTACTCCACTCTTGTGCATAGCATCAAAACTTTTTATACCTGTAATAAATCTGATTGCTTTCTTCTTATCTACCATGGCAACATTTACAATCTTAAAATGTAGTAGCAGTCCCAGTTTGAGAGTTCTACCTAAAAGTGCCTAGAAAAAGAGTTTTTATTGAAATATTTCTGTTTTCGCAGTGCACTCCCTTTGCCAAACTCAAATTAGCATTACACATCTATATACTAAGTCCTCACTTAACCTCATAGGTTCTTGGAAACTGTAACTTTAAGAGAAACAACATACAACAGATCCTTGAATTACATCAGTTGCTTTATTATAATGCCAAAGTGAAAAAAATACTGGTCTGGTTATACATCTTTTTGCTTAAAGTCAGTTTCCAAGAACCTATGGCTATGTTAAGGACTTACTATATGTTATCAAGTTGGAAATTACTACTTTATATTCAATGCAATGTCTTACAGAACTTCACAGAACTTAACATGCTTGTTTACAAATGCAATTTTCATCATTTGAAATACAATTTTAAAATATATATAATCAGGAAATAAGCTGAAATTCCATAATATTGATCTTTAGGAAATCAGTTTGTTATTTAACCTGTGTATTCTTTATTGAAATAGAAACATGGTTAAGGTTTATCTGGTCTTTTCCTGGCAACTAAAAATAATCCAGGCCAAATTTATCTTTGGAGCTGCTATTACCTCTGTTTTGCTAGTATTATTTACAAAAGACAGGATGATACAAGCACAAATAAACTAGCAGGCAAGAGATAAAAATGGGTGTAAAAGTCAGAATTAAGAATTACAGGCACTGGAAGACTCAATGCATTCACAGGACCTCATGCCTTTTAAAACAAAACCAACCAA